TCTTTAAATATGTCCAAATCAAACACAATCAGTCCTGTTCATTTTAATACATTACAATACATTTTAATACRGTCTAATTATTGACGCTTAAAGTGTTTTTGTCTGTCWGCAAAATATCTTGTGAACMACCTGGAATCATCTAATGAAACCTTCAGAAAACAATCACTGCAGTTACCAGTGGAGCTTATTAACAATTCAAGATGGCYGCCACAGCCACCTGACCTCAAAAAACATAAAGTCTCAAATTCAATCAGTCTATAATTAGGTGAGGTAGTAGCTGAGAGTCATCACAGCTTGGATATTTATCACTTAATGAGGTAACTTTCCTGTGAACCCTCTTTCCCAAACAAGCCCCGCCCCTCTGCACACACACATCCACACCCACGTCCAGCGCACCAAGTCTTTAATCACTGTGATGAAACACTTAAATGCAAACATGACTTCCATAACCAATAAATGATGTATCAAATCCTCGACGCACCTCATTTCTCTGAGTCCAGCTGACGTTAACCCTTCGTCTGTGGACAGAAATGCCAATTAAAGCCACGCCCATTCAGAACGACAAGCAACATCCTTGGCTTTTTTTTTTTTTTTGAAACCCTACCACCTCAAATCATAGGAAGAACCGGTCGTGTAAATTACAAGTTAAACCTCAAAGCAAGCAGAAAATAAAGGCCGAGCAGCCGAAGGTCTGTGAAGGTTTTGAGGCCAGGAAGCGAGGAGGGAAGCACACAGCGACTCTGTGTCAGACGTGGAGAYGGCGTCTGACCTCCCCAGGTTGTCTTTGCCGTTGTATCAACAAGCTCCGAGGTTCACAACCGAGAACTTATCGTCTAAGTCACAGAATCCAGCGGCCGAACTGCTGAAAAAAAAAATTACACTTAACTGCAGAAAATGGTGCTTTTTATTTATCTTTGCGCGGTCAATGGACCTATTCATTGACATTTGACTTGGCTCTGGCGTCTCCCCCAGCGGAGGGAGTAAAGTGCACCTCCTGCTTTTTCTCCACGCTCAGATGCAGACGGATGAAAAAACTAACAAACGTTAATAAATGTCGCGAGGCCCGCCATGTTTGTGCAAATCACGTCTGAGCTGCTTAATTTGGATCGACTCATTTTCTTAATGAACCCATTTCATCTTTAATAAACCTCAGCATTAACCTGATAACTCTGCACATTGTGACAAAACTGCGTTTATCTCAGCTGTTTATAGATGTAAAGATGTCTGTTCTGACCATTTCGCCACAGCCTTACTGACCTTTTGCCTTCGCTGTGTGACTCAACATCAGAGGTTTTCACGAAAATAAGCTGCAGTGGTTTTCAGAGTGCACAAAAACAAAAATCCCTGTTTGAGGCTGAATAAAGCATTTGTCTCTCCCATTTAAAGGTGGAAACAATTCTTAAAAACAAATAAAAGTCACATAAAGTCTGAATTAACTGCTCTTCAAGTTTCAGCCCACAAACATGAAAAAAATAAAAAAATAAACACTAGAAGATAAAGTAATGCAGTGCCATCCCCAAACCGAGCACCAGGAGATAACAGAGGAATTTCAAAAATAATACGATCATTCCACAGAAAACACTTTCAGCATAAGACCTGACAGAATCATTCATCAAAGATAACTTCAGAGGTTCATAAATAAATCACACATTTCCATTATTGTCAAAAATCAAAATCAATCACTTCAGAAATCATATTTTCCTTTGGCTAATTTCTATAGTTTTGTCATTAACGAAAGCTGTCAGACTTCAAATTAATGTTTTAACTTAATTATCACATAGTAAAATACAAAATCATATTTAAATTTTTTTAAATAATTGTTTTCTTGCTTAAAATAAGTTAAAATATATTAAAATATTGTAAATAATTTGTCTACAGCTTGAAACTTTATAACAAGTGAACTGTTTGACATTGAAATATTAGCTTAGCTTATCAAAAAAATCATTTTTGCTTGATAATTATTTTTAAATGCTAAGCAAGTTTAGGATGGATTTTTATGAATAAGCATTGCTGCTAATTTAATTTTAACAAGCTAGTTGATTTAGCTAGTAGAAAATGTTACTAAAGGACGGCTTGCATTAGCTAGCAGTAGCTGCTACTACTAGCTAATAGCCAGTCTAGCCAGTCTGTTAGCTAGTAACATTTGCTACTTAGTAGCAAATAGGGGCGTAAGAAAATATCGATACACTGAAATATCGCGATATTTCATTTCCCAATACTGTTTCGATATTCTAAAGCCCTGTCAAGGTTTAAAATGTCAACCTTCTTGCCAACCGTTCATTTTTATGTTGTAGTTCAGCCTCTGACCACTAGTTGGCAGCAGTGAGCCAGCCATTTGGCTCCTCTACCTCTTGAGCGCCAGAGAATAAGGGTAGCATTAGCATTGTAGGAGACAATGTAAGTATTGTAAGTAAACATTAGCTTTTGCTTTTTTTCAGTAAGAGGTTTTTATTTAATATAATTTTTGGACAAAAATATCGCAATATATTACCTTGCTTACAGTATCGCAATATATCGGGATATATCGTATCGTGACCCCTCTGTTATGATATGTATCGTATCGCCAAATTCTTGCCAATACACAACCCTAGTAGCAAATGTTACTAGCTAACAGACTAGTTAGATTTGCTACTCACAAGTGCTGCTAGTCTGTTAGACGATAAGCTGCTAATGATATTTGCTAACAGGCTAGTAGCTTTACTAGTTAGACAGCTAAGTTAACAACACTATCAAATGTAGTTAGCTTTTAGTTTGTGTTCCAGCAAGAAGGTGTAGGTTGCAATATACCAAACTTTGGTCAAATATAAAAAATTAAAGCAAAGAGACTTAATACAGTTATATAGATTAGCTACAACTATAGCATCAAATTAGCAGCACGTTAAAAAGTGTGTTAACTGAGCTTTGTCATTAGCAAATATTAGCTAGTCTAAGCCATGATATACCTGTACTTTAAAGGCTGAATTTGATATTTTATAAATACCAGCGTTAAACTAATCATGATTATATTGGAGCTTTCACTGTCTACAGGYGCTACAAAACAAAAAAAAAGAGACAAATAGCTCTGTCTCTGATAGGTGCTGAGCAAAAAACATAAATGGTTTAATTAACTGTCTTATTTATTTATTTTTTTCCTGTTTGTCTTTGTGTTGTGTTCTCACGAAGTACACTCGCACCTCGGGTTCGACACCAGATGAGACGTTTGGGAACGTGAATGCTCGTAACGACGCTCACGCTCCAAACTCTTCCAGGAAACACATAAACTGTGGACTGTTTGATCAGCAAAACTGTAATTGTGTGCAAATGTGCGCGTGTGTATGTGTGTGAGACGGAGTGTGTGTTGGCTGAGGGCTTTATGTACACAGCAGCTTGAATAGAGGTGCTGTCAGATGTTCGACACGAAACACAGACGATGTAACGTCAGCAGACGGGTCTGTCATGAACACACGAAAAGCAACAGTTTGAAACATAGTTTACTCGTGAACGTATGCAGRGAGGGCAAATGTAGGTGTTTAAAGTCCGATAACATCTGCTGTGGAGGACATTGTTTTCTGTTTATATAGAAAATAAATAAAAACTGACACACTGTAAATTACTGCTAGAAGTATTTTTAAAAGAAAGCTCTAAAAATGTCGAAGTAAAAAAAAAAACTGTTGCAAAACTACGCATCAGATCTGCCAAAGTCTCTGATTATGTCAGTTTTTATGTTTCTACTGTGTTTTATGAAGGAGATAAAACAAGGTAAAAAGTTATCTTCCAGTTCTGGGGAGAAAACTGACAGCTGAAATATAATGGGGGTCAATAGGGGATTTAGTGCACTCTTGAGGGATTTACAAGAAAATCGTAAAACCTACAGCAATTACAGACACAKTGAGTGAAAACTAATAAAAATGGCTAAATTGTAAATAAGAGTTTGTTTGCACAAGTCCTGGAAAGGTCAGATAGCTTAAAAGTTGTTGAACGTTCAACTATTACATCATCAAATATCCTTGGATTGTGTAAAAAAATTATAAATGTTTTAAAATGACGGTTCAGACGTATAAAGTGCATCTTTCTGTGACCTGTTTAAAATTTAAATTATGTTTCCATGATGACGTATAAAAATACGGGGTTGGGTTTTCTCARTCGTTTTGTTCAAATCCCATTGTCGCCCATAAGATTTCCATTTTCCCCAAATTTTGACTATGCAGTACTGGTAACAGAGTTACTAGCAACGAGTTCCTAATTGAGAATTTTATTTTTACTAAAAGCTGCGAAATAATAAAAGTAAACTGAATTGGCACCCTGCTGGTGAAAAACTCAAAGATTATTATTATTWTTTTTTAATCTACTTGACGTTTCCATGAGCATGTCGGTTATCGTGCACATCTGCGGTGCATGACAAGTGCTCATTGGCACTTTGAAAAAAAAAAAAAAAAACAGCATAAAATATTAAAAGGTATGTTTACGATAAAAGGGAAAGCAATTCTTCTTTCCCTCACAACCGCATTATTAATTCATACTGTTAAAACGACTTTCCACGAATTAATGGAGACGACGCACGGACTCGCAATTGCTTTTGGAAATAAAGGGCAGGTCGGCCAGTCAGGCGATGCATTATGGTGGAACTGAGTGGGTCTTATCTATGGAAAGCATGCTGTTAGCTTTAAAGGTACCTCGGCTTTGCGCACAGACACCACACTGGAACCTCAGTGGCAGTTTGGCGATAATCATTTTTCACTTGTGGCCTACCACAGGATCACAGCAGTAAGTAAACTGTTGAAGAGTCCAAGACATAGCACTCTAAATCAGTGTTTGCAACATCTGCATAGCAAAGGACTGAGTCAGGCTGAAAATGTCAATAACACTGAAAACTGTAAGGAGCACTTTTCTTAATAAAGTTAGATAAATGGGTAAACAAACTCCCACGCAGTAATTTAGGGGGCAAGTGAAACGGCAAGGAAAACTCTGTCGACGCTCTGTAAATGTTAATTAATAACAGATTCGCTGTCAGCGTGACGATTCATGAGAAGCCAGCGAACAAAACTGAGAAACCACCAGAAGACAAATTGCAAAAACGGCACTGGCGTGTGCGGGTTTTGGTGAAGTTTAGCTTCTTCTCCGAGCTGCAATTAAGTTTTCAGCCTCTCTCGCAGTGAAACAAAACATCATAAAAAAAAACACAGACTGGGTTTGTCTACGTTTCAAACACTGACTCTGCAGATGGGCGGATGCTGGTTCTGAATGGTACTTTTGGTCGGTCCACTGGCCTTGATGCCCACACCTGGTTTAGATTAGTGGTGCCCAGCTGGTCCGGCTTCAGGGCCCACCATCCACCCTTTAAAGACACGACGTGACCGAAGTCGAGAAAAATGTTCAACTTCTCTAATTTATTGGACGAATCGACGGCGCAGAACCTGACGTGCTAAAACAACTAGCAAGTGGTGATACTGGGGGAAATATTCCTTTTAACGACACAATTATCAGCATATCTTTTCAATTTAAAACTTTTCATTTTAGTAACTTCAGTCTTTTTTAATAGATTCAACATTACTTTCATTAAACATGAAATAAAAAAAATCAAACTACCAAGAAGTAGTTTCAAACACTCAAAATATATAAATTTTGTCTTATTAAAGTTATTCAGTCACTTAAAGGTAATTCTGAGGTGATATTCTGTTTAATAGTTATCAACCAGATCAGTCCTAAAGCACAAAGTTTGGAGAAAAAGACCAGTCTTCATCCAGGCTAGGCTAACAGGCTAACAGTTAGCCTGATGTATGCAACATTAGCTAATATTAAACCTCTACACTTCAGGCGTGACGCCTTTCGTTCAGTTAGTTGTTTTTCTGTAAACAAACATTTGAGTTTCTACATCAATATAGCAACAGCTGGGAGACTTAAACATTCATCAGCTTCAGCACCATCGATGCTACAGTTAGCATGTTAGCATGTTAGTGTTGTAACACAGACGTCATTCAGTTACAAAAACAATAAAATCTAAACAAATGGATTTGTTCCAAAGCGTGTAGTTTTAATATATGTTCATGTTTTTTTTCACACGGTGTTGTTTTTGAAAGAGTTCTTTCATAAGCTTTAATGCTAACACTTTGGCTAAGTATTAGCTACAGATGTTAGCATGGTCACACAAATGTTTTGTTACGAAAAACAGTGACAAACTAAAGCAATGGCATTTTACATAAGTGTACAGGCTTATTATAAGTTAATGTTTTTCACACAAGCGTATCCTTTTCGAGAAAGAGTTGTTTAGAGGCCTAAAAACCAATAACCATTTGGCTAACCGTTAACCTGCCTGGATTTTTCTCCATAGATTTCAAATATCTTTAACTCGGATATTTTTTTGACAAATTGAGCTAAAATTTGGTATTTTGGTTACTGAACACGATCCCTATCACATAGTAAATTTAAATCAAAAATTTAAAAAGGTCACTATTGCTAAAAAGGGGAAAAAATTGCCATAACACGGCCATATTTAGCCTAATTGAGTTGGCATTTATGGCAGCAGAATTCCCCAAAACTTTGAAGAAATAAATCTTAAACCCCTTTATCGTTACTGCAGGAATTATTCTAGTTATAACTTGTTTTTTTTTTCACACTGGTATGTTGCTTTTGATAACAAGTTGTTTTATAGGCCTAAAAATGATAATCGTTTGGCTAACCATTAGCCTAGTCCGGATGAAGACTTTTGCCTCTTTTTWTCCACACTTTGTTCACTATGATTGATGCCATGTCAGGTAACACAGACTAAACTATCACTTTCATTACTTTTTTTTCTGACCCACTGAAAATAGGTCTGCGGTTCACGTTTGGGTCACGACCCTGCAGTTTAAAACCCCCTGATTTAAAGTGACAGTGAGGATTGAAAAAATGTCAATTAGGGCACCTATACAGGGTTATTTTAAGAGTTTCTCATCACGCATCCATGTCTTTACACTTCTGGGTTCATTCTGATGCTTAAAACACGTAAAAACGAAGACAAAACCCACCAGCCGCGAGACATATCGGCAGCAGGAGCCTGAAGATCAGCCCGCAGACCACTTCAGAGGCCATGACGCCCGGCAGGCGGCCCGACCAGGGTCCAGGTAGAAGAAGAAGCCGGAGGTTGTCTCTCTCTCTCTCTCTCTCTCTCTCTAGGGTTCGTGTTTCTCTCGCATCTCAAGAGTTTGTCCTCCTCTGCGCTCCGTCACATCCCGACCGGCCGCATCGGCTCTCCCCGGCTGCTGAGGACACCTGGACGCCGGCCATTCCACAGCAGGTCGGTCCCCGGTTCATGCTGCCCGCATGATGCGTTTCAGGGGCCGGGATGAGCTGAAGGCATCATGTGGCGCATTCAGGACTCAGGAGAGGGGGTGCGCGCGGCAAAAACAAGCCGAGAGAGAGCAGCCAACAAGTCCTCAAGTCCAATTAAGCTCTCCCGCTAACAAAAAAACAACTTTAACCGGCAACAAAAAAACTCTTAAACTAGCCTATTTACACTTTCCGGTTGTAGGTCGGTGAAAAAAAGAAGCAGAAGTCCGCGGATAAGTCCACACATCTGTATGACGCACGCCCCTCCTCGTTGAAAATTGACTTTCTGACTTCTGGCGCTGGACTGTTTTCCCCAACTGGAAKGATACTGGGACGAGCCTGTGAGTGACAGGCGGCTCCGCCAATCAGAAGTGAGCGACCGAGAAAGGTTCCGCCCCCGGAGATAATTGGAACCAAGATGTTAAAAATAATAAATAAATAAATACAGAAAACAGAACTGGGCATTAATTTTAACATAACAGCTCCGCGGCTTTAACATCAAAATGTTTTGTTATCGTTTCATATTTATTTTTTTAATCTAAGTCTATTAAACATTACATTAGATTACAGGTGGGGTTTTATGAATCTTCTGGGTTTTTCACTCATTATTGGACTCTGACAAAGAGAAACAGCGACATATACTGGCAGGAAATCATTTTTATCTTGGAGGCAGGAATTTTATTTATTTTTTTCAGATAATTGTTTTTGCTCATGTCATGTCTGTGTCTGCGTGTTAGCAAAATTTTAATATTTAATGAGCCTGGACAAAATATAATAAAAGTCCTTAACATTTAGAGCAAGATTCAAATACAAATAAAGTTGTAACTCAGACCATTTTACAGACTGAAATTTGGTGATAGCATTACCTCTAACACATGAAGCTCAAAATATTCAATATATTGTGCTTAAAACGTTGGTCTATTAGCAAAATATCTCATAAACCACTGGACAAATGTTGAAACTATCAGAAACTATCATTAGCTTTATGCAGTGGTGAGTACAGGTCCCCTAAAGCACTAATAGGGGAACTAGTTTTCTGATTAGTGGTTTAAGGCTTTTGCTAATTTATAAATTCATTAGTGGATTAGCACTTGCTAAATTAATGGGCTGAATTTAAAAGCACCAACTGAGGTCTTTAAATGTTATTGATCAACATCATTGTAAACAGCTGAGGRTGAAAACTGTCACACATTTTGTTTATATGGCATTTATCCACTAGGTGACATGTTGACATTGATTATTGTTGACGATACCTGTGCTAWWTTAGTGCTTTAAGGTTAGCGCAACACTGGCTTTACGTCTAAAACTGATTATTAATAGGAGTCAACTMAAATCAAACTGGCCAATACAAACAGCCAACATAAAAATGTTGTTTTGTAAATATTTAGCTAGATAATAAAACTTGGAAATCATGTAAAACATTATTTACAACGTTTGACCTAAATTAAAAAATATATTTCGAACAAAAGACATTCTTAAGCCTTTGATTTCCAGTTTGTAACATAATTAAGAGTGATGAGAAAAACATCTGCTCAGTTTTCATGTGAACCAGTTTATACTTTGGAAAAAGACCCTTAACGTAAATTAAACTTCAATCCAAATAACTTTAACTTTTTCTCCCATTATTGTAAGTTATGACGTCCGTCGGATGTGAATTAYATCAACTGCAGATGTTTCCTTATAGGTCAGAAAATTAACTTATTGTTTTTTAACTCTTTTGTCTTTTGATGTGATCCTCCCATCCTGAGTCTCGTTCAGCTGAAGGAAGTTCTTCTGGTTTCAAAGTGTTATAAAAATATATATAAAATAAAAAAATTAAACACCTGACTTGTGCAGACTTCTGGCTCCTCGCAAATTAAACTGATCTAAATYTACCTCCCAACAAGACAGTAGAAGAAATATTTTCATGAGATCAAAATGACTTCATTGGTTTTAGAGCCAGACAGTAATATTTTTATTTATGGCATAAATAAAAACAGGGGAAAAAAATCATCGAGTCTCGACAATGATTGACTGAGGTCAAAGTGTCTCTCATAAACAAACATCAGAGGCCAAAAAGAAAATATATGAGCATCTAAGCTGCTTTTTACATGTTTTTAGCCACTGTTGATAAAATAATGTTAACTTTTGAGCCTGGGACGTATAAACCAGTAAATCTTATTTAACCTTGAGAGACACAGTTTGTTGTGTTTATCTTTCACGTTTAAGAAAATTTATGATTAACTGGAAAACAACATGAACTAAAGAAAATACACTTTCTGCCAAAAACTAATGCAAAGATGTTGAAACTGAGTTGCTAAAAGTAGCAAAACAAACTAGTTTAAAAAGACCAAAAACACTATAGCAAAAACATGAAAAGTGCTAGTTTATAGCTAAAAATAGCAAAATACTATCAAAAAATTAAAAATGACTGTCTAGTTTATAGCTCAAAGCTAAATGTGGCAGAAGGCTAGCTAAAAACTATAAAAGTACCAAAAGCCTAGCTAAAAGAGCTAAAAGGCTAATTAAAACAAGCAAAAAATAAGCTAAAAGCTAAAGTAACTAAAACATAAATGCTAAATGCAGAATGACTTTGCTGGTAAGCTGAAAATGAATTATTAAAGAAGCTGAAAATACCAAAAGTCTATCACAAAGCTAATTGTAGCAGAAGGGTWGCTGAAAACTGAAAGGAACATATCAGCTAAGAACAGCAAAAATTGCTATCAGCTAAAAGTACTAAAAGGCTAGCCAAAAGTAGCAAAAAGCTAAGCAGAATGTTTCGAAACACGAACGGCTAAAACAGCAGAGCATGCAGAAATAAATTGCAAAAACAAGAAAAGTGCTGAGGTTTCAATACTCAAAAAACAAAGTATTATTTTCTAAACTCAAATTTATGTCATCAGAAAAACTTCTTACAACAAACAAATCAGACCTTGAAATGTTCTGACTCATAAAATTGTTTCTYTATTTATCAGAGGTGCATTTTTCTGTTCGAAGAGCCAATTTTAACAGAAATATGTCGCTGAGGTGGGCCGTGAGACTCCTGAGGACCAAAATCTGATGAAAGTAAAGACTAGCAGGATGAGTTGGTCTAAGTTGTCAAACTGAAATATTTAAACATCCTGTGTCCGCTGAAAGAGCAGGAAAAGGAAACTGAACTTTTCATCCCCTCCCATTGACATCCAGACTCAGAAAGCCTCGGTGGAAGACCCTCGTCAGGACTGAAAAGGATGCAGCTGCTAACACTACAAGTTTTCCTGTTACAGAAAAACCAGCGTCAATATTAGGTGGTTAAAAAAAACATCAGGATTCGCTGAGTTTTCCTTTTGTTTATTCAAATTTGAGTCACCAGTGAGTCATAAAAACTCAAAAGAGGGTTAARAAAGCTTGGATAAAAATCCATTTCAGATGACTCATAGAGATTATTGTTAGTTTATTTTCCTTTAAGGACAAACTAACAGCTGCATGCAGACTGACAGGAGGAGGAGCTGATGGAGGAATGGCTGCAGCTGTGGCTAATGAAACAAGGAACAGGCGTCAATGAATTACAGACATCTTTGTGTGTTTTTTTCCCCCTATGTCAGTAGGCTGTGGCGGCCATCTTGAGTCAAATTGATTTCAAGAGTGAATTAGTTCTAAATGTGCATTTGGTAATTATTTCCTGAAAGTCTCATTAAAATAAGATATTTTTGTTAATGGACAAACAAGATTTGACTCAAAGTAAATAATGTTAAAATTTTAAACCAAGATCTCACAAACACTGTTGGTATCTCAGAATCCATGGGGATCAGTCTCAGCGGTTACGTCAAGCTTGTTTGCAGTTTTTAATGCCAGCTGGCTGTGGCGGCCATCTTGAATTGAACCCACTCCAAAAGGTAATCAGCTGTAAACTTATATTCGGTGATTAGCTTTGGTAAGTTTCATTAAAATTTCATCGGTATTTCATGAGATATTCTGCCTTCTTTTCCAATCTGAGCGATAAAAATGAAAGAAAAATTAATTAGGGCTTGCCAATGAATAGGAGAGCAGAGGAATGTATTGCGAAGCAAACTTAAGCTAACYGCTAATGCTAATTTTACATAARGCTATATTTCAGCCTGTTTTAGGATGCACAAAGCTGAAAAATGGTATAGGAGTTACAAAGAACAAGYTTTGATAAATTCTGAAAGTTAAATTAAAATTCAAGATGGAAGCTAATCTGAAACAATAAATTGGTCATTTTATTTACATTTTGRGTTGAAATACTGAACCCRGAAAAAAAMCAAGRTGGCCGCTACAGCTAAGACGTAAAATTGACCATACCTCTGCCATTTTTAGTCATATTCAGTTGAAATCTGTGATGGTGGTAGATGGCAGTGATCTTCTGCAAATAGTGAAGTTTAAATTTGAAATGGATGCCACGTGGCAGGCCCTATCATAGTGTCTCCAGGAACTATTCTAGTTTATTACTACTCTACTAAAAAACAAGTTGATCACATTTAGTTTCGTGTAAAACCCTTCAGTGCGTCATCGGTTCTTTTACAGCTTTATTGACCACAAAGTGATCCTCCGAGCTGCCGTTTGCTCTGAAGTGAATAATGCAGGAGGACAGAACCGATCCCAACGGCCCCCMCTGTGCCTCCGAGGCAGCAAAGGTCCAGCTGCTCGTGATGTGATGAATCATCATTTGGCCAAATTCATGAAAAACAACAAAGAAAAAAAAACCAAGARCAGGCTTCTGAACCGCAGCCAGAAATGATCAATGAGCAACAAAACATGTCGGCCTCAGGATTTTGTTTGTGCCGTTTGAAGTCTGCTGATCCCATCCCTCAGAAGGATGYGAAACTTTAAGTAACATTTGTCTTTGATTCATTATTCATCCCGTTCTTGAGAGGGGAGTTATCGATGAAATCTCTGAGGTTCAGCCGGAGTCAGCAGTGGAGCGTCAGGTCAAGCTGTTCCAGACTCACCTGTCATCATTTCAGAATTATTACAGCAACAAGATTGTTTATCTTCAGGTCTCCAAATTACTGCTGAGATGTTTTGTCTCATAACTTAAAAAAGGTACAGATTGTTAAGACCAAATATAGACTGAACAGACTAAATATAGACTGATGTTTTTGGTTGCTGAATGAAGCTGAAGCTGTGCGTTTTAAGGTAATCTAACTTTTGATTTAATATAACATTAAAAAATACACAATAATTAAAAAGTCACATTAAACATGAAAAGATATATTTTATGGTAACATAAAAGTGTTCATATCCCTTTCACTTTGATTAAAGTTCCATCTGAAGAAAAGCAGCCCCAAACCATGACGCTGTCCAGTTCTTGATGTCACTGTTGTGTTATCTTCACTGTGTTCCATGGTGTCTAATGCCTTTAAAATTCATTTGACAGATTTATTTTAACAATCAGATCCATCGGATGCTTTGGAGGCTTT